ACAAAGGCATCCATAAACTACCATAAAAACAGATGGACATAAATATGTTGTGTCCAGATTCTGTTGTCTGAGAAAGGACCTGAGCTGGAGAGAGATGCTCTCTCCCAACACCACATGAACCCTTATCTTTGAGGGACATGGGACAGACAAGGGATCAAAGCAGGGCCAGCTCTCCCATGTGACTTCAGGGTGTTCCATGCCATGGGTGTGAGTCCCCTCATGTCACCAAAGTCGTGTCTGTCCTTCCCCTTTGGGGAGTGCCTGGTGGAGACGCAGGGAGGAGGCCCAGTTTTGGAGCCAGGCCCCTTGTCAGCCCCCACTGTACCCTTCCCCTGCCCACAGGAGAAACAAAGTCCTGAACCACTTCAGCATCATGCAGCAACGGCGGCTCAAGGATCAGGACCAGGATGAGGAAGACGAGGAGAAGGAGAAACGCAGCCGCAAGAAGGCCAGTGAGCTGCGCATCCATGACCTGGAGGATGACCTGGAGATGTCGTCTGACGACAGCGAGGCCAGCGGCGAGGAGGGTGAGGCTGGTGGAGCCCCCCTGGGTGGCCGTGTGGACTAGCCTGGGTCGTACTCCCTCAAGGTGTCTAAGTGACGACTCAGGAAGGTTGATGCCACTGAGGGAAAGCTGAGTCACTCACAGTCCCCTGGGAATGAGGACAGGGCACAGCCCGCTGCACCGGCCCTTGGGGAAGCACGGGAGGTGGTAGGAGGCAGAGAGGAGCGACGGGAAGGTCTCAGCTGCAGCCTTTATTGGGGTGTCCATGGATGGGCAGCGCAGGGCAGGGTGAACAGCTTTGGATCAGCCCGTTTGAATGATGCTGGTGGGCCTTGGGCTACAGGAGTGGGTTCTAGTTGTCCGATACACGGTTCTGGGGGATGCAGGGACGGAGATGGTGGCCCTGAGTGCGAGTCAGAGAAAGCGAGTTGGGGGTATAGACTTGGACCGGTCAGTTTACGTGTAAGAGGCCAGTCCTGGGCGTCTCTCCGTGCTCGGTGAGGCCCCCAAGATGTCCAGACATCCTCAGGTTTCCCAAACGGGACGAGTGCCCGGCCTGAGTCCCGCTCTGATTCCCTAGGTGGCAGAGCTCCCAAGGCCAAGAAGAAGGCACCGCCGGCCAAGGGAGGCAGGAAGAAGAAGAAGAAGAAGGGGTCCGACGACGAGGCCTTCGAAGACAGTGACGACGGGGACTTTGAGGGCCAGGAAGTGGACTACATGTCCGACGGCTCAAGGTGAGGCAGGCGGGAGGCGGGTGTGAGGTGGGCGTGAGGCCTGCGCCAGCCCGGCCCACGCGCTCCCTCCCTCACGGTCGGCTGGTTCTCCGCCTTCCAGCAGCTCCCAGGATGAGCTGGAGGGCAAGCCCAAGGTCACCCAGCAGGAGGAGGGCCCCAAGGGCGTAGATGAGCAGAGCGAGAGCAGCGAGGAGAGTGAGGAGGAGAAGCCGCCCGAGGAGGACAAGGAGGAGGAGGAGGAGAAGAAGGCGCCCACGCCTCAGGAGAAGAAGCGCAGGAAAGGTGGGTCCCCTCCCTGCTGCCCGGGCGCCCCGCTCCCAGAGCCCCTATCTGGGGTGGAGCCGGGGCGGGGCGCCCTGGCGCTGACACTCCTCCCGCCCCACGCAGACAGCAGCGACGAGTCGGACAGCTCAGAGGAGAGCGACATCGACAGCGAGGCGTCCTCGGCCCTCTTCATGGCGGTGAGGCCCGGGCCCGGGCAGGGGCGGGTGGGCGGGCGTCTGTCTCCCGACTTACATCCCAACCCCATTTCTGCAGAAGAAGAAGACGCCCCCCAAGAGGGAGCGGAGGCCGTCGGGAGGCAGCTCTCGGGGCAACAGCCGGCCAGGCACGCCCAGCGCGGAGAGCGGCAGCACCTCTTCCACCCTGCGGGCTGCCGCCACCAAGCTGGAGCAGGGTGAGCAGGGCTGTCACCCCACCCCTCGCTGCGACCTCTTGACCTTTGCCCTCAGTCTCCCCTCCTGTCTCAGGAACAGAGGCCAGAGTTGGGGCAGAGGCCTGTCCACCCCGGGGCCCCCTGGACACGGGGTCCCAGCCCCGCTCCTCCTGGGCCCCTGGGGGTCCAGCCCCCCAGGCCCGGGGCTCAACCCCTCCCCTGCTCCCCCAGGCAAGCGAACGAATGAGACGCCGGTGGCCAAGCGGTTGCGGCTGGACGCCGGGCCCCAGAGCCTGTCTGGGAAGTCGACCCCTCAGCCCCAGTCTGGGAAGTCGACCCCCAGCAGCGGGTAGGTTGGCGAGGGTGGTGGGGGGTGGGGCAGGGGAATAGGGCAGGGGAGCAGGGCAGGGGCGCGGGGAGGCCTCCCGCTGACGCCCACCCGCCCCGCCCTCCGCTCGGCTCCTCAGCGATGTGCAGGTGACAGAGGACGCGGTGCGCCGCTATCTGACTCGGAAGCCCATGACCACCAAGGACCTGCTGAAGAAGTTCCAGACCAAGAAGACGGGGCTGAGCAGCGAGCAGACGGTGAACGTGCTCGCCCAGATCCTCAAGCGGCTCAACCCCGAGCGCAAGATGATCAGCGACAAGATGCACTTCTCCCTCAAGGAGTGATGGCCAGCGCCCACCCACCTGCCCAATAAACGGCTGCCTCCCAACTTCTCTGGTGCTCGCGTTGTCTGTCACCTGCTGCCTGAATCCCAGCACCCCGTGTTGCCAATTCCAGAACAACGCTGGCCATTTTCTTAGCTCATGTCTCTCCCTCTGTCCCTCGGGCCCTTCCTTCCAGAACTTTCCCTGCCCCTTAGAGCTTGCTCCTCTTAGCCCTCGGCCAGCTGTGCTCGCTGAGCATCCACCGTCGCAGGCTGGCGGTCTCTCCAGCTCCGGCGTCTGGTTCTGTCTTCGGCTGTAGTTTATGCCCCGTGAACCCAGGAAGTGCTTGGCTTCCCTGACTCAGTTTTCCAAATCTCAAATGATCTTTGCTTCCTTTTCAGATCAGCTGGTCTGTTTTAAGTGTTCTGCCCCCAGTGGCTTTGATCCTTTCCTCCACGTTTTTGTTGTGAGCATCCTATCTCTGCCAGAGATCTGATACCCGAAGCTGACAGCCATCCCGTGTTCTCTTCTGACTTCTCTTCACGACTGACTCTTGTGTTTCCTAACTTTGGGTGGGGACTCACGGCCGGCTGAGGGGCTCTGCGTGGGCCTCCTGGGCAGCTGGCTTTGCAGGCAAACCCTACAGGTGCTTTTAGCCTCTGTTCCCCACCAGGTGTCCCAGGAGCCTTGGACTGAGTCCACGTGAAGCGGTTCTTGGCTGGCGGGCTCTGTTCCAACGTGGCCACAAAATCCCACACTCTTCTGTTGCTCATGTTGGCACCTGGGCCCTATTTTTCAGCTTTCCAGTGATGTTTCCAGGGCTTCCCTTATATTCCAAAGAGTTAGTTCCGCATTTATTTTATCCAGCATTGCTAGGGTTGTGCCGTGGGAGGGCTTTTTGAGTTCATGGCCAGTTTCATCGCTAGAAATGGAATTTGGCAGCGGGCGCTACTTTAGAACCCGTCCCGAGTGATTGGCTGGGGGCAGGATGTGGGGCTTCCGTGAGCAGGGATGCCGGAGACGGCAGGCTAATTCCCAGGAATGTCTCGGGTCTGTCTAACGCCCCTCCCCATCCTTCCGCCAGGCCTTTTGGGGCAGAAAGAAAGCAGCGTTGACCCCTGGCCCTCCACGCTCTTACCCCTGCCCTCCCTGCCACAGGACTGCGGCCTAAGGCCTCTCCCCACCAGGCCAGCCCACACGCCCTAGTGGTTAGGAGCCAGGGCCTGGTGTTCAGCAGGGTCTGGCTCCAAATCCTGGCCGTGTCGAATTCTGGGCGACTTTGGAGCAGTGACTCTTTTTGTCCGAAGGTGGTCTCAACGACACTGCGGTAGCCAGTACCCACCACTGCCGAGCGAGGGAAGCAGTGCAAGCAGGTGGGAGTTTGGGTCGGTCCAGCCCTCGCTAGTACGAAGAGCCAGCGGCCACTCCTGAGTTTGTGTCTGTGCCCGCCTGACACAGGCTTCCTGGGGCTCGGGGATGTGACTTGCGGTTTCAGCAGCAAATGCTCAATGGCCTCTGGCTTACACCCCTCCCCACAGCCTGGGCACCCCTGCGTCGCACGCCCCCGCCCCCCCCCCCCCCCCCCCCCCCCCCCGCAGCCATGTGTGCCCACGGTTTCTGGGTTTTGCCGGTCTGGGCTGCAGGGTCTTATCCGAGTTTTTACCTGGTCTTACCTGTGTGTGATCCAGCACCTCTTTAAACCTAAGTTATTTGTGCTTCTTTGCCTGGAAAACTCTCGCGAGCTTCTGTCAGGCGGCGTATCACACGCTTAAATGCGCCATCTCTCTGTCCTCAGAACCTCACGTGGGAAAGACTGATTAGCTCCCTCTCACAGGTAAGGGATGGTCTCATTTCCTTGATATTACAGGGGCCAGGCATGGAAGCCACTGGAAACTGCTGCTGTGCCTCTCAGACCCAGCGGGCTTAAGCTCCCCTCCCGCCCTGATGCCAGGACAGGGCTGAGGTTCCAGGTCCCAGGGGCCTCAGGTGGGCCTTCTAGAGACAGGAGTTCCTGCAGGGTGAGCTTCCGACCCTTGAGTCCCAGTTCTTGGCTGTCTCCAGGCCTCTCCCTTTTCCTGTTTTGGTGCTGGCTCAGCCAGGCCCGGAGACAGGGGCATGATGTCTTAATCCTCCGGGTGGCAGCCATGATGGATTCTCCACTGGCTTGGCCACCTGCTGACCCCTCCCTTCCCACACACCTATCTGCCCCACCCGGCGCCCGACGTGGGGACCCCTGAGCCCTGGCACCCTGCCTGAGTGCGGAGGGGCCACCCTGGCGGGCCCACGATGCCCCCCAACTCTTTCCAGAAAGCAGGTGGGGTGGGGGACCGGGCTGCCCGCCCTGGGCTCGGCTCTGGCTGCCACAAGAGTCGTAAATCAGGGGAAGAGGGGGTGTCGGAAACGGGTCTGCGGAATGTCTGGATGGGGCAGGGAGGGGGTGAGTGCTTAACTCTTAGAAGCACAGGGTGTGGGGCCAAGGGACTGGCTTGCCTGGCCCTGAGGATGCGGAAGAGCAGCCGGTACGGGACGCGGGGTCCTCCTGCTACTACAGCAGCGGCAACGAAGAGGTTATTTCCCCCAGCCCAGGCTGGGGAATAAATTGAGGGTGCGAGGCGTCCCCACCCTCGGGATCTGCCTGTCACAATGGCCACAGGAAGAGTCCTACTCTGCTCTTTGCTGCTCCTCTCGCTGCAGCCGGGCCTCGGCAGGGGCCCTGGTGCTCGGGGGGCTCCGGTGGTGGAGGAAGAGCCACGAGGGACCCTGAGGCCGCAGCTGGGTAAGAACCCCCCGGACCCTGCACGACTCCCCCACTCCTTCCTGCTCAGACCCTGCTCGCTGTCAGCTGCCCCTTGTCCCCTGCAGGTGCCCGCCTGCGCAGAGCCCTGGCCAGCCCGTGCCAGCTGTGGAGCCTGCCCCTACCTGTGGCCGAGCTGGGTCTGGGCTACGCTTCCGAGGAGACGGTCATCTTCCGCTACTGTGCAGGCAGCTGCCCCCGCGGTGCCCGCACCCAGCACGGCCTGACGCTGGCCCGGCTGCGGGGCCAGGGCAGGGCCCACGGCGGGCCCTGCTGCCAGCCCACCCGCTACACCGACGTGGCCTTTCTCGATGACCGCCACCGCTGGCAGCGGCTGCCCCAGCTCTCGGCGGCTGCCTGCAGCTGCGGCGGCTAAGGACGCCAGGCCTGGGGCCCTGCAGCCGCTTGAGGAGCCCTGCTGACCTATTTATCGGAGACTTGGACGCCGATGAGATCAGAGGGGCGGTGGGCTGGGGGCCGCCTGCAAGGAGCATAATAAAGGAAACTGCTGCTGCATGACTGTGTTCAGCCAGGGTGTGCCCTGACCCTGCCACCGAGCTCCCTGTGCGTGGACAGGGAGGATCCTGGGCTTCCCCTGCACCTCTCGGCGCCTGCAAGCAGCCAGCTCAAGGAAGGCCAGTCTGTCCATTTTCCAACTTTATTCACAAACGTGGTGTGTGTCTGGTGCGGGGGAGAACCTGAGGGAAGGGCCCCGCGTTCAGCAGGCTGTGGGGGGCTGCCCAGGCTCACCTGGTCCCATCCCCTCAGGGAGGGAGCGGCAGATCACAGAGATGCGTCGGCCCCGGGGAACCCGACGCCCCCCAAAAAAGGACTCTTCATCCCGAAGAATCTCATGGGAGAAGTCATAACGGGCCGAGCCCCTGCAAGAGAAAACAGGCTCGGGCTGGGTGGGGTGAGGGCAGCCCCTGCGCAGGGCAGGCTGCCTGGTGGGTGGGGCGCGCGGGAGGGGGGTGGGGGGAGGAGATGATCGCGTCTGCGGGGAGGGCTGAATAAGAGAAGGTGCGCAACGTGTGAGGTGGGTGAGCATCTGATGAGTTACGGGTGGGGTGGGGGCTCCTTGGCTGAGCAGTACCTAAGGATGTAGAGGGAGCCTGGCTCCAGCAAGAGTTCCAGCCACTCCCCCGGCTCCTGGGTGTGCACCAGCCGCATGACGCTGGGAGATAGTAGGGATAGGCCAGCGATGGTGGCTCCACAGAACTGGAAGAGAGGGCATGGCGGCCAGTCAGTCTGTGGCCTGGCCGGCCCACCCCCAGCTGGGGGGCTCCAAGGCTCTGGCCGCCGCCCACCTTGATGCTGTCCACATGTGGCTTGATGTAGCCCCGAGGTTCCAGGTCCAGCACATGCACCGAGGACAGCAGGGTCTGGCCAGGGCTAAAGGCGGCCGCTTGCACACGCTGCAGGATGGCCCGGCTTGCCTCTGACCAGCGTGACTTTTCTGTCTCTCGGAAGCCGTGGATGGCCTGCACGGAGAACTTGGGTCAGGCCAGGAAGCTCTCAGAGGGAACAGGGAAACTGAGGCACGGTGGTGGGGGGCAGAGTGCAGAGCAAAGGACTGGTTTTCCCAACATGACCCTTGACCCCGCCTTCAACTCACCACCTTGGTCCTATCTACCCTATAATCCTGGGTCTCAAACCCCAACCCCAACCCTTACCCCATCTAGGTCTAGTCCTACTCCTTTGTATCCGCCCTTGAGCTCCAATTCAGTCCCAGATCCAGTCCCCAACGCTGCCCCCCCCCCCCCCGCAATACTCAATTTTGTCTCCGCCCACAACTTGATCCCACTCCAGTCCTCTGTCTCCGCACCCAACTGGTGACCCTCCCTCATCTCGCTCCACACCTGTTTCCGCCCCTAACCTTGGTCCTGTCCCCCAAGCACCCCACAGTTCCAAGTCTGCCCTCCAGTTACGGCCCTGCCCTCATCGCCAAAGTGCTTTCCCAGCCAGCAAAACACCTCGGCATCAAACTCCGCCCCATGCCGCCAGCCGCGTTCCCAGCCGTAGCCCCCGGCGACCCAGCGCTCCACCCCAGTCTTCACCTCTAACGTCACTGGCCCCGCCTCCGCCGTAGCCCCGCCCCCGAGGCCCGCCCCCCGGGGCCGCCGGCCTCACCGCGTCCCAGTGATCGTATTCGTAGCGGCGGCGGCGCAGCTCGGGCTCCAGCTCGCGGCTCAGCGTCTCCTCCTCGGCCGTGCTCAAGAAGCCGGGCCGCACCAGGGCCGCGTCCCGAAGGCGGCTTAGTACGGCTGGGCCCGAGCCCCGCACCCAGCTGGACCGGGGAAGGGTCCCCAGCGCCAGGCGGCCACTTGCGGCCATAGCCCCCAGAGCCGGGTCTTGGAAGCTGTCGGAGTCAGGGCAACGCCCCCGCTCCGGAGCCATTGGCTGTGGCTTCACCGAGCCCCTTCGGTGATTGGCCTTCCTCGGAGTCCCGCCTTGCTCTCCGCCCCGTCAAGAATGCTGGTTGCTGCTCAGCTCGCGTCTCAAGCTATTGGCTCCCCATAGCACCCGCCTCCTTTCGCGCGCTATTGGGCGTCGTCCGCGGTGGAGGCCGGGGGTCGGGGCTCGGCCGCGAGTTATGGCCTCGAACTCGAGGTCAGGAGTTGCAGGAGGATTTAGGCCAACGCCCAGGTTGTGGAGTTGGCCAGGACTAGAGATTAAGGGGACAGCACAGTCAGGCCTGAGATGAAGGGGTCAAAGGCACAGAGGTCAGGGCCAGAGGTCAAAGGCACAGGGAGTGGGGCCAATTTAGAGGTTGGGGTCAAAGGTTAAAACCAAGCATCACCCTTTTCCCCTCGGGATTGTGTTATTCCCACCCCTGTACAAACAGACTGGCTCCCACCCGCCTGGGTGTCTCCCTATTTGTTGATCATCTGACTCTCGATGTCAGCTCAGGTCATGATCCTAGAGTGGTGGGATGGTGTCTCTTTATACTTCAAGTCACCGGAAATATCAAGGACAGATGTCACAACCCGTCCTAATCCAATCATCAAAATTCAGAGGAAAGTCCACAGGACAAAGGACCTTGTTTCTCCAACAAGGGAATTTCAAAGGAAGACAAGAAAAAGAGGGAGAGATTGAGACAGAGATTAAGGGCAAAACCCACAGTTAAAGAGACTTTGAGATATCTCCACCAGTTGCAAGGTATGCGCCTTATTTGGAAGTTGATTTGAACAAATTAATAAAAATAGAGAAAACTGGGGAAATTTGGACACTGTTGACTATTTGACCGTAGTAAGTACTGTTATTTTTTTAGGTTTCAAATGGCATTGTGGTTGTCTTTTAAAAGATTTATCCTTTTAGAAATACCTGTGGAAATATTGACTCCCTGACCCCTCCAGTGACAGCCCCATGTTCTCTGCTCTCCTTATACAACAAAGTTCCTTGAAGAACTTGTCCAGCTCCCCTGTCTTCCTGCCCCTGCTGTCTGGCTGCACTCCAATCTGGCTTTGGCCCCCACAGCACGGGAAATGCTCCTACTTGAGGCATAGTGACTTCCACTGTGCCAAATCCAGCAGCCAGTTCTTAGCCTGACTGCTTATTTATAGAGATACGTTCTTATTTCATTTTACATTTTTATCCCCAGCTCTGACCGCAGATTCATCATCTCCTGGGATGTCTAAGGCACATCAACACCAGTAACGGCCAAACTCAACTTCTGATTCCCGGTCCCCCAACCAGTTCATGGGCTCAAGCCAGGCGTCTGACTCTGCACTGACAGCTCCGAGCTTGGAGCCCAGAACCTGCTTCAGATTCTGTGTCTCACTGTCTCTCTGCCCCTCCCTCGCCCCTCCCCTGTTCGCACTCTGCCTCTCTCTCAAAAATAAACACACACTAGGGGCGCCTGAGTGGCCCAAAAAAACCCGAAGCCCTGGCTGGAATCTGACCCCCTCTGACCACCTAGCTGGGGCTGCCAGCCTTCTTCTGATTATTCTGATTAGTCCACTTGTCCTAATGGGTCTCCAGGCTTCCATGCCGGCTGCACTTTGCCCACCCCTCCATGGGAGTCCTAGTAGTCCTGCTTTTTGTTCTTCTCAGAACCCTCCCGGGCTCATCTCCTTCCTTGCTCACATCTACCAGGCATGAAGATCTGTCCTCCTTCCTTTCTGCTCTCAAATCTCCACTGTCCCCCTGCCACTCCACTTCAGCCACCTGAGCCTCCTTCTGGCCCCTCCCACAATGGTAGCCACAGTCCTGCCACAGGGCCTTTGCACTTGCTATGCCCGCTGCCTAGACTGCTGTGTTCCTCCCTCACCTCAGATGTCTTTGTTCAAGCCTCACCTCAGCAAGGCCTTCACTGGCCACCCCATCTAAAACTGTCACGCACTCACACTGCATGTCTGTTTCCCTGCTTTTAAAAAAAACTGTCTACTCCCACAAGAATAAGTTCTTTGAGGACAGGGATCGTTGTTTTCTTCACAATACGCCGTGGTCTCTAGAACGGTGCCTGAAATGTCGTATTTGCTCAGTAGAGTTTGCTGAAGTTAGGGAACTGAAGGTCAGAGTCTCAGGGTCAGGGCGAAAGCAGAAGAGGCCTCATGAAGGGCACACGGGTGCGTGCCACGGTGGAGTGGGGAGGGAAGGCGACACAGATGGGGATCAAAGACTACAAAGATTTAATTGAAAATCACAGTGTCTCATTCAAGATATCTGCCCTTAGCGGCACCCCCAAATCCGAGTTCCTCCTGAGGCCCTTCCAGCTCAGCAGCGAGGGGTGGGCAGGGCTTCAGCTGCAGGGTCTGACCGGCGCCTGGCCCCCCACCCCCAGCTTTCCTCTAGAGGGTGAGGGCCAGGTCTCAGACGCTTGCTGGGGCAGGTTCTGCTGTGGCCGCGGCCGCCACAGGCTCCTTTTGCACCAGCTCAGGCTCATCCTCACCGTCCTGGGGAGGGTGGACCAGAACCTTGTCTAAGATTCCAAACTCCTGGGCCTCCATGGGGCTCATGTAACGGTCCCGCTCCATGGCCGACTCTGCAGGGGAAGCAAGAAGCAGGACGTGTGCGGTTAAGGGCAGACACCTGGGGCCAGGTTTGGGTCCCCGTCCTGCGGCTGCTTTGCTGCGTGGCCTTGGCCTCCCCCTCTCGGTGCCTCGGTTTCCCCATCGGTAAAATACCCGTTTCCATTTTGCCTTTTTTTTCACTTGTTACTGATGTATAATGTACACCCAGCAAAGGGCACAGATGGTAAGTGGACAGTGTGAATTTCAGCCTGAACTTGCCCACAAGGCCAGCACCCAGATCGAGAAATGGGATGTCACCAGACCCCCCCTGACCACTGCTGCCCTGCTGGAGCCACTGACTCCTCTGGCCCCAGAGGAACCACTAGCCTCACGCTGGGCTCATAGCATAGATAAGTCTGCTTCTTTTTTGTTTGTAAATGCGTGGAATCAGGGAGTATCTACTCCCTTTCGCCACTCAGCAACAGGATTTCGAGGTTCAGCCAGGCTGCCGTGTGTCGCTGTGGACGGGTCTCTCTCGTTGCCATATGGCGATTCCACAGCATAAACAAAGCCCTGACGCCCTCGTCCCGCTGGCCACGTGGGTGTTTTCCAGGGCAGGGTCGCATACACAGGACTGCCGAAGCACTCCCTTCTCTTGGTTACATGCTGAGCAGGGGGGAACCATGGCATTTTGGGCATTTTTAGCCCGAGCTGGTAGTGCCAGATGGCTTTCTACTGCATCTGTATCGTTTTCACTGCCACCCGCAGCGGGTAAGCGTTCTGGTTGCTCCACGGGCATCTGGTGCTGTGTTTTGTATTTTAGCGGTTCTAGTGGATTGAAATGCTGTCTCGCTGTGGCCTTAATTTGCCTTTCCCTAAAAGCTGGTCATGTCAGTTTTTTTAAAAAAGTATATTGGGGCACCCGGGTGTCTCAGTCGGTTGAGCGTCCGACTTCAGCTCGGAGTCTGTGAGTTCGAGCCCCGCGTCAGGCTCTGTGCTGACAGCTCAGAGCCTGGAGCCTGCTTTGGATTCTGTGTCTCCCTCTCTCTCTGCCCCAACCCGCTCGCATTCTGTCTCTGTCTCTCTCAAAAATAAATAAACATTAAAAAAAAAATTAAAAAAAAATATATATGGGCTGGGGCGCCTGGGTGGCTCAGTCGGTTGAGCATCCGACTTCAGCTCAGGTCGTGATCTCACGGTTCGTGAGTTCTAGCCCTGCATTGGGCTTTGTGTCAGAGCCTGCTTTGGATTCCCTGTCCCCCTCTCTCTGCCTCTCCCTTGCTTATGGTTGCTCTCTCTCTCAAAAATAAATAAACATTAAAAAATATACATATATACACACACACACAAGATAATATATATATATATATAACGTGTAAAAATATATACGTATATATACACACATACACACACTGGCTAATTTATTTATCTTATTTATTTATTTTTGAAGGAGGCTCCATGCCCAACGTGGGGCTTGAGCTCCCAACCCTGAGATCAAGAGTGGCATGCTCTACCGACTGGGCCACGCAGGCACCCCTAATGATGTTCTTTTTAAATATCATCACTAAAGATGACGGGCATCTTTTCTTGTATTTCTTGGCCATTTGGAATATTCTTTACTGAGGACCCTGTTCAAACCTTTGACCCACTTCAGTGAAGTTTTTGCCAGGGTTCTGCAAGGAGGTCTTTTTAAAGTGCTTCGAACAGGGGTTCTCAGGTGACGGTGATTTTGACCCCTGGGGGACACCGGGTGATGTGTGGAGGCAGTTTTGGTGGTCACCCATGGAAGGTGCTACTGACATCCAGTGGGCAGTGGCCAGGAACGCTGCTCTATGTCCTCAATGGCCAGGACGGCCCCCACAACAGAAGATGACCCAGCCCTGAGTGTCAGCAGGGCCAGGGTCGAGAGGCCCTGGCTTAGCACAAGGCCTGTCGCATATGTTCGTGTTGGCTAAAGTAAGGAGCAGCTGGCAGTCTGCCTGGGGCGGGGACACTCACCAATCACCTGCAGGCTCTGTTTGGTGTGCTTGGCATAGATACTGTAGAGCTGCTTCTTGAGTTTCATGATCTCCTCCGCCTGGATGGCGATGTCTGTGGCTTGGCCCTGGGGGGTGTCCCAAGGGGGTCAAGGGGGAGAAGGTTAGAATGAGCGTCAGCCGCGCACAGGGAGGCTGGGGAGGGTGTTCAGACAGGTGGGACAGGGCTTCTCGAGTCCTTCCACATCCTGCTGCGTCTTCAACCGCCATCGGGAAGGCTTCCGGTGTGAATTACACTGTCTTCCGTTCTGCGCGTGGAGCCTCGCCCTTCCCAGGGCAAGGGGATTCCTGGAGACAGCGGCCAGCTGGCCCACGAGTTTCACGTGCAAACCGGCTGATCCAGAGGGCACACCCTCACCACCTCCTCCGTGGGGCTCTCACGTTCGGGGCCACTATCCCATGCCCCATCACCCCGGGGCCCAGTGCCAGAGAACTAGGCCAGCCCCCACACCCCAGAGTCCCCTGACATTATTCAAACTAGCCAGTCCTGAGCCTGCTTGCCCTGCCTCACAGTTCCTTCCTGCAGAAACCACAGTAAAGTCCTTGTCCCTTGTCCGCTGCCCCTCCCCACTCCTGCCCGGCCTCCTGACAGACCCCGGTGCTTCTCGTGTGGCCCTGCATGGCCTGGCATGCCCCCACCCCCTCCTGCCCCCTGGGAACTGGGCATTAAAAACTGTCTTTCCAATGGTGGTCCTCTCCTGATCTGCTGGCCTCGCCAAACGTGAATCCAAATAAAACCTATGGTTCAAAACACTGACACTCCCACACGGCGTCCACCCAGTAGCTCCTTCTGTTCAGACACCACCCCCCATCCCGCAGCAGCCTGCAGGGCCTGGCACTCACCCGGGCGCCCCCAGACGGCTGGTGGATCATGATGCGGGAGTTGGGAAGCGAGTGGCGCATGCCCGGGGTGCCAGCAGCCAGAAGCAGGGAGCCCATGCTGGCGGCCTGGCCCACGCACCATGTGCAGATGGGGTTCAGGATGTACTGCATCGTGTCGTAGATGGCCAGGCCCGAGGTCACCATGCCACCTGGTGGGGGTGGGGGCGGGGGGTGGTAATGAGGGGCTGTGCCGGCTCCTGGCCCGCATGCTTTCTCGGCTGCGCCCCTGGTCTTGGGGAGAGCTTGTGCAGAGGCAGCCCTTTAAAGCAGGCATGGCACGATCTCGCCGTCCGGGAGTTCGAGCCCCGCGTCGGGCTCTGGGCTGATGGCTCAGAGCCTGGAGCCTGTTTCCGATTCTGTGTCTCCCTCTCTCTCTGCCCCTCCCCCGTTCATGCTCTGTCTCTCTCTGTCCCAAAAATAAATAAACGTTGAAAAAAAAAAAATTTACAGCAGGCGTGGCAAACGCAAATACTTCCAAGGGTAGAGAGGTGAGGAAACAGGTGACGCGAATTAAGCGACTGGTCCAGTTACCACCTGTGCACATGGGCCCAGGGGGACCAGACCTGTCAAGCTTTCACGAGAAGCTGGAAATCGGGGAGCCGTGGCCCAGAGGGAAGCTCTGGAGCCGGCCTGCCCTCGCAGTTTCATCTGTGTGACGACGAACCCAGCCTCTCAGAGCAACAGGGTCTCCTGGCAGATTGGGGATAACTAAACAGTCCCTACCTCGTGAGGCCGCCACGAGGACAAGATGAACTAAATGCCTATAAAGTACTTGGGTGTGGGGCCCAGTAAGCGTCCAACCAAGATGCGCTATTGTCTTTGGGGGCGGGAGTGGTGCTGGTGGCGGCAGCTACCGATTTGAAAACGCTGACCACCGGGTCAGGTTAGTAAAGTGTTAGGTGTGGGATCAAAGAGGCAGGTTCAGCTGCCGGCTTGTGAACCCAGACATAAAAGCAAGGACCAGGCAACTTTTGGAGGTTTGGGCACAGTGTTGGGATTCTGAAGGAGGCTCAGCACCCTTTCTTCCTCCACAGGGACAGCGTTCCTGATCAGGGGGGTCTCTATCCCCTGAGTCACCTCAAGTGTCCCCAGAAGCGCCCCTGCCACCCAGGGAAGGCTCTGCTCACCAGGGCTGTTGATGTACATGTGGATGGGTTTCTTGTTGCTCTCGGACTGCAGGAACAGCAGCTGTGCGATGACCAGGCTGGCCACGCTGTCGTCGATCTGCAAGTAAGCAGGCAGGGTGGGGTGGCCCACGTCGGGGGTAAGGAGAGGGCTAATGGAAGCAATTATGGGGTGGCTGGGGACGAGTCAGGGGAAGCGGGATGGATGTCAGAGCCCAAGAGAGACGGTGGGGGAGAATTCAGGACCAAGGAGGGGAGGTGGTGAAGGGTGGTAGGGACCCACGGGGGTTGGGGCCCAGGAAGCCGGGAGTCATGGGCTTAGGGCAAGGAAGGGAAGGGGTCACATGGGTTGGGGAGAAGGATTAGAGCCAGGAATGAGGGAGGAGGATCACTAGTGAGGGAGGGAGTCAGAGTTCAAGAAGGGAAGAGCAGAGGGTTTGAGGAAGGGGTGAGATGGGGGATCAGGGCCCAGGAAGTGGGGCGTCAGACTGGTACCAGTGCAGAACCCAGGTAGGAAAGTAAAAGGAGGGGTCAGGAGGTCAAGGGGGTTCGAAGAGGAGGGGAGCGTGGGGTCTGGGCAAGCGCAGAGGAGGGTCCCGGCGGGGAACTCACCGGACCCATGACACACACGATGCGCTCCCGCAGCAGACGTGAGTAGATGTCATAGGCGCGCTCGCCGCGACCCTGGGGGAGAGAGACAGAAAGAACCTCCAGCCCCGTGACCCCCGACGCCCTCCCCAGGCCAAGTTCCCGCGGCTGCTGTACCGTCTGCTCCACCACGATGGGAATGAGCGGGAGAGCCCGGGCCGCCGTCGCGTGCAGGCTCCGCTGCAGGGCCAGGCCGGTCTTGGGCGTCCGATGCGGGGGGAAGCGGGCGGCGAGGCGAGGCCCCAGCGCGGGGCAACCACCTGCCGCCACCCGGGCCCCCCCAACCAATATTCCCGGCCACATCCCGCTGCAGTCCCTCTCGGCTTCCGTCCGATGGCGGAACTACAACTCCCGGCGTGCTTTGCGCCTAGGGCGCATGCTCACCAGGTCGCCCACAGCCTGGGAGGTGGGGCGGAGCACGAAGGGGGCGGAGCCGGAGAACGTTTGAAGCCAGCAGTTCTGGTCACCTTACGTGATGAATTTGTCGTTCCTTATTTAATTTTTTTTTTCCATATTCAAGTTATGTTTTTTCCTGTCGTTCTTTTAATTTAAAAATCAGCTCCTGGGGTGCCTGGCTGCTCAATCGGTGGAGCGTCCCACTTGATATCGGGGTCGTGAGTTAAGGCCCCACATTGGGCGTAAAGCTTACTTAAAAAAAAATAATAATATTATAAATAAAAATCAGCGCCATTGTGCCCACTGAGCCCTGGCCTAGCCGAGTTTCCAGTTCGGTGGAGCTGACTCCTTACTGAGACCTTTTCTTTCATCTATGGACTCAGGCTGTTGGGAGCCCAAGGAAAGGTGTTGCAGACTCTGTCTGGGAGATGCCTGTGGAAAGGTTTCCTAGGAGAAGTGAGTATTGGAGCTGGGTTTTGAAGGGTGGATAGGAGTTTGTTAGGTGGGAAAAGACATTTCTGGTAGAGGGAGGAGAACGGGCAGAGAGATGGAAGTAGGAAGGTTCCCGGTAACGTTTGGGACCTCTCTTTACCTGCCAGTCGTCTCAAGGCGAATTCTTTTTCATCTTTCGGCTCAAATGCCACCTTCTTAGAGTTGTCCCCAGAGTCTAGAACTGTGCCTGGTACACAGTAGGTGCTTATTAACTACACTTTGCAGCAAGAGGTGACAAGGGAGGCAGGTTAAGAGCTGAGGGCTGTAGAGGCAGCTGCCCCACCCGCCAAACTGGCTCAACCCCTGACGTGCTGTGTGATCTTAGGTCATTGCTTAACACCTTTGAGCCTGAAGTTTCTCATCTGGAAAATGGCAGTGATCGAACCAATCTCAGGGAAGGATTTAAAGATACCTGCTGCTGTCGGGCTCTCTGCTGCTGGTGCGGAGCCTGCTTTGGATCCTCTGTCCCCCGGTCTCTGCCCCTCTGTATCAAAAATAAATAAACATTAAAAAAAGGGATACCTTCTGCTGATGCAGCATATTGGAGGCACCTGACTTCAGATCTTGGCTCCATTACTTACTAGCTGTGTGTCCCTGCGCCTCAGTTTTCCATCTGTAAATAGGGATAATGATATTAACGAACATCCTAAGGCTGTTGTAAGGTCCTCAGAATGGGCATTCACTATCTTTTAAAAATATTTTTTAACATTTATTCATTTTTGAGAGACAGAGCGTGAGCAGGGGAGAGAGGGAGACACAGAATCCGAAGCAGGCTCCAGGCTCTGAGCTGTCAGCACAGAGCCTGATGCGGGGCTTGAACTCATGAACCACAAGATCATGACCTGTACCAAAGTCGGACTCTTCACCGACTGAGCCACCCAGGCGCCCCTGTATTCACTATTGATGGGTATTCATTATTGATGTGTTAGCCAGGAACCACAGGGGTGCAAGAAGTCCTCCCTTAGGAGGGGCCTTTTGAGGTGGGTTTTGACAGATAGATAGGAGTTCACCAGGCAGACAGTGCCTAAATGCTGGACCCTCAAATTGATGCTGGGTGCCATAGACAAGGGTACACTCTGTGTTCACACAAATCCTGGTCTCATGGGGACAGAGAACAGGACATGGGAAAGTGGAAAAGCTTAGAGGAGGCCTTGGAGGCACCCCTGGAAGAAGGCTTAGATCTAGGCCTCACTGACAGGGCTTGGGGGCCGGGGGTCAGTGTCCAGGCACTGGGAGTGACATTCCCCAGTGGGGACTGTGGAGGTAGTGGGCAGCATGGAATGTCCCAGTTTCTGCTATGAGTCAGGTGGGTGGCCCTGCCCAGCCAGTTCCCCTAGGGCCCAAGCGCCTGCCCTACCCTGGGGAGAAGGGTGAGCCATCAGGTGCTGCCGCCCCTGCAGTCCCTCCCCCAAAACTCCGCCCCGGCCCCCCCCCCCCCCCCGCCACTGCCTCCCTTTGCTTCACCGGCTCTGCCTGTCCACAGATCAACTACTTTTCACCTCCTCTGTCCTTGTTTCCACCCTCTGTAATGTGTGTTCCAGCTTAACCTGTGTCCTGCAGTTATTTCTTCATTCAGCACCCTGAGAAAGCTCACCGAACCATATTCCTCCCTTGGCTCCCCGTCACCCTCGCTGACCTCTTCCCTCACTTGCCTCCAGCCTCCTGACCCACTTCGCTCTAGCAGTGACACTGGCCAGCTTTCTGTTCCTCAAACACACCAAGCCCCATCCAGGCACCTGGGCTTTGCTGGCATCCTCTTCCTGAATCCAGCTCCTTTCCAACCCACAGATCTCCCCCCAGATGTCACCTCCTTAGGGAAGCCTTCCCTGATTCCCCTTGCTAATCCCAGAGACACTCTGTGACCTTTGCTTCTTTAAATGGCTATCCAAAAACAATTACATCAGTTCTTTTGTTTTCCTGTTTATCATCTGTGGGAGGTGAGCTCCTTTGAAGCCAAAGGTCTTTTTCAGCTCTATGGTCCTTGGGACAGTATTTATGACACCTTTTTTTTTTTTAATTTTTTTTAATGTTTATTTATTTTTGAGACAGAGACAGAGCATGAACAGGGAGGGGCAGAGAGAGAGGGAGACATAGAATCTGAAACAGGCTCCAGGCTCCGAGCCGTCAGCACAGAGCCCAACGCGGGGCTCGGATGCTTAACCGACCAAGCCACCCAGGCGCCCCTATGACACCTTTTTATCAGGACTCACAAGGAGAGATGCATCTTATATAGTGTCTGAGCCCACAAAAATACAAAAGTTTCATGAAATGATATTTATCCTTATTTTGAGCAATCACCTTCTGGTATTTTCTAATTTTTCCTGTTCTAGTCTGTTTCATTTACATTGGACTTTCTCAGCCTTGGGACTAGTGACATTCTAGGTTGGATAATTCTTTGTTTGGGGAAGGCCATCCTGTGTATTGTGGGATGTTGAGCCCCATCAGTGGCATTGACCCACTAGACGCCTGTGGCGCTCCCCCATCATAACAATCGAAATGTCTGAGACATTCCCAAGTGTCCTCCTGGAAGGAAGAATTGCTTGCTGTTGAAAATCACTGATTTAATTTTTTAAATTTTATTTATTTTGAGAGAGGGGGTGGAGCAGAGAGAGGGAGAGAGAGAATCCCAAGCAGGGTTCACACTCTGATCACGGAGCCGATGTGGGGCTCTAACTCACGAATCATGAGATCATGACCTGAGCAGAAACCAAGAGTTGGACGCTTGACCGACTGAGCCACCTGAAAATCACTGATTTATTTTTTTTTTTTAATTTTTTTTTCAACGTTTTTTATTTATTTTTGGGACAGAGAGAGACAGAGCATGAACGGGGGAGGGGCAGAGAGAGAGGGAGACACAGAATCGAAAACAGGCTCCAGGCTCCGAGCCATCAGCCCAGAGCCTGACGCGGGGCTCGAACTCACGGACCGTGAGATCGTGACCTGGCTGAAGTCGGACGCTTAACCGACTGCGCCACCCAGGCGCCCGAAAATCACTGATTTAAATTAAAGTGGAGAGTGACCCGAAATGCTGAAATGAAAAAAACAAAAACAAAAACAAAAACAACTTCTGAACAGTTTCTGGCACATTGTAGGCATTCAGTTACTGTGTGACTTATTCCTCCTGACTTGTGAAATCTGTTCTCAGTGAATGAGTCCATATAAGTAGGTGGTAAGGGAGTGAGGGATGGAGGGAAGGAGGAATGTTTTGATGCTTGGCTATAAAATCAGTCCGTCCCACTGGTTTTAGGTTATTACTCTGTGGTCAAAGAGAAGCTCTACATACTGTTACCTGTTCTTTGATGTATGCAAAACAGGCCTATTGAAATGGATAGAAATTGAAAATTAAGAAAAGAAATGGAAAACCCAGGGCTGAAGAGGCCGTGGGTAGATGGATACCCCCATAAACAGCTCACACACAGACATTGCTACACTTCTCTGGAAAGCAAGTTGATACCCCATTTCCGACTCCCATAGTCCACTTCCAGTTACTCATTTGTAGGAAATGACCAAAGGTGAGCACCAAGATTTGGCCCAGGGTTGTTTATGGCCGAACTGTTTATAACTGTTCTGACTGTTGTTTCAGTTAGCTAGTGCTGCGTGACAAATCATCCCATACACCTAGGGCTTTCAAACAGCCGTGGCTTATTCTCACAATCTGGGAATCTGGATTGGGCTCCTCTGATTGTCCTGTACACAGGGTTTGCTGGGGCTGGAATATCCACCGTGAACATCCTGCAGACACACATCTGGAGCCTCACCCCTGCCAGGGAGGCATCTCTTTCTCTCCATGTGGCTGCTTGGGCTTCCTCACAGTATGGTGGTCTTTAGGTCTCACCTGACAATCGGCTCCCAAGAGAGGAAGCAGAATTTACCTGTCTTCTTCTTTAAAAAATAAAAAAAAAAAGTTTATTTACTTATTTATTTTTGAGAGGGTTGGGGGAAGGGCAGGGAGAGGGAGAGGGAGACAGAGAATCTCAAGCAGGCTCCACATTGTCAGCACAGAGCCCGACGCGCGGCTCAGTTTCACTAACTGCAGATCATGACCTGAGCTGAGATCCAGAGTCAGATGCTTAACCACCTGAGCCTCCCAGGCGCCCCTGAAGCTACATGTCTTCTTAAAAGCTTGGCCCACACATCACATGGCAGCTCCTTTGCCACCGTCTGTCAGTCGGAGGAAGTCACATGGCCAAACCAAGATGCAAGGAGAAGGAAAGGGGAAATGACTCTTGGTGTGGGACGTGGCAGGGACGCACAGGATGGAAAGAATTGATGGTGGCCGTCTTCGGAGACAAGTCTAGCACACTTACATTAGCAGAGAATTGGAAATGAGTGTCCAGAAAGAGGGGCTGATTAAATCATATAAATTTTTTTTTTTGTTTTTGTTTTTAAATCATATAAAATGTTAAGTTACAACAATTATCAACAGTGCCTCCTCTGATCCAGGGTTTATTAGTTAGGCATGACTGCGAGTGCCAGTGACTTAGACAAGATAGAAATGTCTTTCCATCCAAGTGATAGTCTGGAGGTTGGCACTCAGGGTGGGCAGGGTGGCTCTGTACCATGGCGTCTCCAGAAGCCTTCTCCTCAGCCATTTCTAGGGCGGGGCTTTCCTTGTCTCGAAATCGAAATTGGGGCTTCAAGCTGGCACATTTCCATTCCAAGAAGCTGGATGGAGGTTGAGAGGAAAAAAAACAGGCAAAAGACACATGTCAGTCTTTTTTTTTTTTTTTTTTTTCCCGTACAATTAATTGTCAAATTGGCTAACATACCGTGTGTAAAGTGTGCTCTTGGTTCTTGGGGGTAGATTCCCGTGGTTCATCGCTTCCCTACAACACCCAGTGCTCATCCAACAATGCCCTCCTCAGTGCCCGTCACCCACTTTCCCCTCCCCCCACCCCCCCATCAACCCTCGGTTCTCTGTATTTAAGAGTCTCTTAGGGTTCGCCTCCCTCCCTGTCTGTTTG